AGGGAGAGCGAGAACCAAGAGTGCTTAATCCTTCAGTGCTATTCTTGCTTTGTGGGTGAATTTGATATAACCTGAGTGCACTTTATTCCTGTTAAAAGAACAAAGCCTCCTCCCCTCTTGGCCCAGGCAGCTGGACAGAGTAACCCCTGCTCCCATGTCCACTAGACCCTGTTGGGAAGGGGGGGGGGGGAAGGGAACGACACCTGCTCACCTTGTTTGCAACCAGGGTGACCAGACAGCAAGTGTGAAAAATTGGGACAGGGGTGTGGGGGGTAATAGGAGCCTATATAAGAAAAAGACCCAAAAATCAGAATTGTCCCTATAAATTCGGGACATCTGGTCACCCTATTTGCAACCCAAGATGACTAATATGGATGCCAGGGACCCAGGAAGTGCCAGGCGGGAGCAGATTAGTGACTCATGGAATTCAGTGTCCTGGAGTATGGCAGGTGACTCAGTGAGTGGTGGGGGTCCGGGGTGGGGGGAAATCACCAACTGGGTTAGTGAGTGGGGGGAATTAAGGGTAGGTGGGGGGGGAAGTGGAGGGTGTTGGTGAGTGTGTCAGTGAATGGAAGCCAGGGGAGGTCAGGGGGGTGAGTCAGGGAGTGGGGGTCAGCGGGGGTGACTCAGGGAGTGGCGGTCAGGGGAGATCATGGGGGATGGGTCAGGGAGAGGGGGTCAGGGAGGTCAGGGGGGTGGGTCAGGGAGTGGCGGTCAGGGGGGTCACAGGGGGTGACTCAGGGAGTAGGGGTCAGGGGAGGTCAGGGGGTGACTCAGGGAGTGGGGGTTGGGGGGGTCAGGGGAGTGACTCAGGGAATGGGGGTCAGGGGAGGTCAGGAGGTGACTCAGGGAGTGGGGGTCAGGGGAGCGGTACCCACAGCGGCTCAGTTTAGGAGACTCTGTGGCCATCGGGTTTGCGGAGCGCCCCGCTCTGCCCTGCCCTGGAGGCGCTGGGGGCCCGCTGCGGGGCGGCGGCGCACGGGGCCGGTCCCGGGCGGACGGAGTCAGGAGCCCCGCAGCTCCCGGCCTGGCCGGGATGGCCGGGTGGGGGGAGTCGGGGACGCGCAGCTCTCGGGAGGCTATTCCTGGCGGCGGCCCCCGCCCGCGGCAGGGGGCTGCGGGGAGGTGACAGGTGGCAGCCGGAGACTATAAAAATTCCCGAGCCTCCAGCGACTCACAGACCCGGTCCCTTCCCGCGGAGCCCCCCTGATCCGGAGCAGAGACCCTGTCCCAGCCGGATTGGAGCCCCCCAGATCCGGAGCAAAGAGACACGGTCCCATCCGGAGCGGAGCCCCCCAGATCCGGAGCAGAGAGACCCGGTCCCATCCGGAGCGGTGCCCCCAGATCCGGATCAAAGACCCGGTCCCATCCGGAGCGGTGCCCCCAGTTCCGGAGCAAAGACCCGGTCCCATCCGGAGCGGTGCCCCCCAGATCCGGAGCAGAAACACGGTCCCATCCGGAGCAGAGCCCTCCTCCCCCTAGAGCGGAGCCCCCAGACCTTGCAGTCATGCCCGGCAAAGAACCAGACGGAGACCCAGAGCTGGCCCAGGCGACCCCAGCAGCCGAACCGGCGGAAGCCCGGGCAGCAGAAGCGGTTCCAGCCTCGCCAGCAGAGGGCGCCCTGCAGCCTGAGCCCCAGCACCCGGCCGCTGCTCCGGAGCGCGGGGAGCCTAAAGCAGGTGAAGGGGAGGGGGGGGGGCGGACCATGAATCTGGTCAGAGCGGAGCGTCCGTGCACGGGGAGCCAGGCGGACCCGGGAGCCCATCCTCGGGGTTAGGGGTGGGCAGGGGGAGGCTGGAGGTGCATAGAGGGGAGGGGGCTAGGCTGGCGGGGGGAGGGGTGTATTTAGGGGAATGGAGTGGGCAGAGGGAGGCTGGGGGGGCATAAGGAGGGGAGAGGGTTAGTCTGACGGGTGGGGGAGGGGTGTATTTAGGGGATGAAGTGGACAATGGAAGGCTGAACTGGCCAAAAGTATGACAGGGTTCAAAAAGGAGCTAGATAAGTCCATGGAGGACAGGTCCATCAATGGCTATTAGCCAAGATTGTGAGGGATGCACTCCATGCTCTGGGTGTCCCAAAACCTCCGACTGGACAAACAGGGGATGGGTCACTCAGTAATTGCCCTGTTCTGCTCATTCTCTTTGAAGCACCTGCCCCTGTCTGCCAGAGACAGGATACTGGGCTAGACGGACCATTGGTCTGACCTGCTATGGCCGTTCTTATATTGGGTATCTGGGAGTATGGAGGTGGGCAGTGTAGGCTGGGGTGGGTGTATTTGGGTCTGGGGGTGGGTGGAGAGGCTAGGGGTGTATCGGGAGGATGGGATAGGCTGGGATGTGTGTATCTGGGTGCATGGGTGTGGGCAAGGGGGCTGAGGAGGGTGTTTTGGGGGGCTGGGGTGGGCGGAGGGAATGGGGTGAGTGTTTGGGGCTGGGCTGGGTGTGTTTTGGGGCATGGGGAGGCTGGTGGGTGCATTTAGGAGGGAACGGATTGGGCAGAGGAGACTTGGGTAGATGTATTTGGGTGGATGGGGTGGGCAGGGGAGGCTGGAGTGAGTGTCTTGTGGGGGGTGGGTGAGGGATGCTGGGGTGGGTGTCTCAAGGGGTGTGCAGGGGAGGCTGGGGAGGGTGTCTGTAGGTGGATGGAGGCCAGGGGAGGCTGGGGTGGGTGTCTTGTGGGGGTATGAGTGGGGGAGGCTGAGGTGGGTGTCTGTGGGTGCATGGGGTGGGTGGGAGAGGCTGGGGTGGGAGCGTGGTAGGCCCTTGGGAAATGCATTGAGAGGCTGTGTGTGGCGAACAGGCCTAGCCGGAGGGGTTATGTCAGTGGGGGGGTTCTGTGTATTTCTAACGTGTCTATGTTTGTTACAGAGCCGCCCAGCTGCCCATTGCACCTGGCAGTGGGGGACGTGAATGATAACTCGGTGTCCCTGACATGGAAGGCCCCAGAGCAGGCGAGCTCCGCTGGCCTGGATGGATACCTGGTGGAGTGCTGCAAAGATGGAAGTAGGCTTGAGCTTTACTCCTTTCTAAGCATGAAGAGCTGTGTCTTAATGGGGAAGATCATGTAACACACTAGCTGAGTGTGTCATGTCCCTGACTCGTGGCCAGGCCACACAGGGGAAGAGCTGGTTGAAAACCAGCTAAACATTTTTGTGTAAAATTTCTTTTTTCTTTGAAAGTTCCAAATAAATAAAAATTGACCAGCTCACCATAGAGGCTAGGAGCTTACTATTGCTGCCAGAGAATGGGTTGACTCCAATAACTCAACGGGAAGGGGGCCATAATTTTGGTGCTGAAGGCCACAGGTTTAATCTCCAGTGACGACCTGTGGTGGACATGTTGTTCCCATGGGATAAAAGGACTTGATTATGTCAATAAGTAGCTACACAGGGAACACATTTTTAATAATGGGCTCTTCAGTCTAGCAGAGGAAGGTCTAACATGATCCAATGGCTAGAAGTTGAAGCTAGACAAATTCAATTTGGAAATTAGGTGTATAGTTTTAATGGCAAGGGTAATTAAGCATTGGGACAATTTACTGAGGGTTGTGGTGGATTCTGCATCGCTGATCATTTTAAAATCACGATGGGATGTCTTTCTAAAAGCTCTGCTCTATGAATTATATTGGGGTCTCTGGCCTGTGTTTTACTGGAGGGCAGACAAGATGATCACAGTGGTCCCTTCTGGCCTTGAAATCTGTGACTATGAACCCAAGTCTCTCTTCCTGAGCCACTGGAGTTGGGAGACGGTGGTGGGAACAGCAGGGTGGCTCCTTGTCCTATGTTGGGGTCTCTGAACATCTGAATCACTACATATGAATGTAGATCTGGATGCCAGAAAGTCATAAAAACATCAGGAGGAGGAAAAAGTTTGCAGAGGAACAGCGGAGGGGTGGGGGGTTAGGGACAAACGGACAGGCACTAAGAAGGTCAGTCCCAAATTTTCAAACTTGTGTGCCGCACTTCAGGGCCCTGTGGCCCAAATCCTCCAAGGTGTTTAGGCATCTGACTCTCATTGATTTCAATGGACATTAGGTGCCTAAATCCTTTTGAGGCTCTAGGTCTGTGTTTCTATTTTGTCTCCTAAATAAGTGACCTGATTTTCAGCGATCTATTGAAATCAGCAGGTATTGTGGCTGTTCAGTGCCTCAGAAAAGCAGTCCATATATTTAAGTGCCTATATAGAAATAGGCAACCAATTTTGAACATGTTGGCGTTATGGTTGATTGGCAGGTGCAATATATTTTGGCTTCGGACTCAGGATGATTGGTGAGGGGGTGGAGATGGGCAGGGAGAGGAGAAATATTTAATCCTCATGGACCTGAAAGGAAATGTAAGGATTAGGAAGAGACAGTTGGGGAGAGCTGGCAAGCCATGCTTGGCTGAAGCTGTAGGCATTGGTTCCTGGGTTGAGGACAGGTGGTGAGTTGGATGGTGGCAAACTGGATTGGACTAGGCTAGTGAAACTTGGTGGGCTGGTGGCAGCTGGCAGGTTCTGGTTGGCAAGTTGATGGTCTCTGATTAGTCCACTGGCTGCTTTGCTGGTTGATGGAACAGGGCAGGCGAGGGAGGGAGACCTTATTGGCTGGTGGCATTTGGCAAGTTATCATTGGTGCCACTGGCAGGCATTGGTTGGCTGATTCTTTGGGGCTGATCCCTGGCTGCTGGCAGGATTTGCCCCATCGTGTTTTTCAGACTGGTGTTTGGGGGTTGTCCTGTCTGCATTTGTTGGTGGGCTGAGGTTTGGAGGATGCTGGGGAGCTCTGGCTGGGTTTGTTGGTGGGAGATGAATGTTAGCTGGATGTGTGGGGTGATTCATGAGCCTGGCAGGGCTGCGTGGGCAGGATGCCATGTGAACCTTTGGTTGTTTAGTTGGATAATGGGGGTCCATGAGGTCAGGTTGCAGCAGGCCCACGGACTCTGGTTGGTGGGTTTGGGGCAGAGTGCTACTCGTGGCTGGCTGATAGGGAGAGGTTTAGGGGCACTGGCTGGCTTGGGGTAGACCATGAGCCTTGGTAGGATGGGACGCTGCCTTCATGTAGGTTACATCGCCACCAGCAGGCACCTAACACTGAACTGTGTAGTGAAGGAGGCAAAAGCGCTTCACAGCCTGACACTTCCAAGTCTGGTGCTAAACCAAGCACCTGTTTGGAGAGAGCTGGGCTAATATCCAGTCTGTTATGATCCTTGATTGTGTAGGGCCTGGTTAGTTGGTAAAGGAGCCCTGGCCATCTGGCAGTGGGTAGCTGTTGAGCCCTGGCTAGCTGGTTGGAGCTGGGCTGTTGGTTGGTTGGGGCCGGCATGAGGGTTTTGCCTGGTTGGAAAGTTTTGGCTGATGCACAAACCTTGCTGGTGGTTGCGGGTGGAAGGGGGCTTGTGACCCTTGCTTGTTTGGGTGCTGAGGCAAGCTTGTTCTGGGGGGCTGCTTTGGGGGGGACGGACTGGTGGATCTTGAGGGCTTCTTCCAAGGTGTGGATGTTTCTGGTTGGATGGCCTGGCTGGCAATCCTTACTTTGATTGGCTTTTGGAGGCTCCCAAGCCTTGGCCGTCTAGCATAGGTTAGGGGTTTAGACATAGGTTAGGGGTTTATGACATTAGTGGGTGGGTGAGATTCTGTGGCCTGCATTGTGCAGGAGGTCAGACTAGACCATCATAATGGTCCCTTCTGACCTTAAAGTCTATGACTCTACGTTAGAGGCATTGTGCTCCCAAGCTGTGGCCGGTTGAAGGCAGCTTTTTAGCTCTGGCTGAGACTGGCCAGCAAGCCCTAGCTCGTGTTTAGCGGATGGTAGAGGAGTCCTAGCCCATTGCTTGTTTTGGGGCGGCTGTGATGCCCTGGTTAGTTGGCTTGGGGAGGCAAGGGCATGTAGATTGGTTTGTTGGGGTGGATGACAAGCCCTGCTATGTGGCTGTCAACTCACCAGCAACTAGTGGTGTTGCCTGCTACGCTACTGACTCCCCAGAGGCTCAGTGGAAATTCACAAAGCGGAGTAGGATGGAGCCTGAGGCTTGCAGCAGGATGGCTCCGTGGGGGAAGCAGCAATGCCCTAGATTCTGTGCAGCACCTGAATGTGCAAAGTTCCCCACTTGTGGGCCATTCCCCTTTTGGATGCTGAACAGCACACTAGTTTTCTTTCTGAGAGGTTGATAAGTACGAGTGAGCTGGCTGGTGGGGATGGCTAACGAGCCCTGGTTGGTTGGTGGATCCGAGGGGGTGGTGAGTGTTGGTTTGCTGGGGGCAAGCCCTGGATGAACATAGGGTGATCAGATGTCCCAATAAAATCAGGTGTACGATCGGGACCCCATTTGTCCTGATATTTGGGTAAGGAAGCAAGCGGGAGGGAGGCGCCGACTCCGTGGCTGTGGGTGCTCTGCACCCATCGGCAGCCAAGTTCCCCCTTCCTCGCCTCCTTCCCCCGCACTGCGCCGCGTCCCTGCTCCTCCCCCTCCCTTGCAGCGCTTCCCACCGCCTAACAGCTGTTTGGTGGCGCTTAGGACTTTCCGGGAGAGAGGGGGAGGAGTGGGGATGCGGCACGCTCAGGGGAGGAGGCGGAGAAGAGGCAGGGCAGGGGTGGGGACTTGTGGAAGGGGTGGAATGGGGGTGGGGCGAGGGCAGTGCAGGGGTGGGAAGAGGCAGGGGACGGGTGAGCACCCACCGGGCAGAGGGGAGGTCAACACCGTAGTTTCAGGCATGTGGCGGGTGGGGTGTGTGTGAAGAGGCAAGCGGTGGGTGGGGGACTGAGGAGGGATGCAGCAAGCCAGTGGTGGGCCAGGGGATGAGGAAGGGCGCAGTGGCAGGGGGGCCCGAGCAGGGAGGGGGCGGGACCTGAGGCAGAGTGGGGGCGGAGCCTGGGAGGAGCAGGAGTGGACTGTGGGCAGGGCTGACAGCACCCCAATGTGTCCCAATATTTTACCGTTGTGATCTGGTCACCCTAGGTAAACAGTTCAGAATGAGCAATTTATTCAGTGAGTTTTGCCCCTTTTTCCGGTTTGCAAGTTGTTTGCTATTCCAGATTGTTTGATGGATATTTTATGTAGCAAATTTCAGCCTGCGCGAGCACTCCTTCGCGTATCTGATATTCACCAATCCATAGTCACGCTGTGCAAATGGTCCCCTCTAGCCGCATGGCATTGTTTCTGTTCCCTGACTGGATAACCTGACCTTTAGAACCTTCTGCTGCCTTTGCCTGAATCAAAGCTGGTGTTGCAAAGCAGTGGCTCTTGGCTCTGAGTCCAGCTCTGAGAAAGTTGCTCTCTGGGAACATTAGTCCAGTCACGAATGCTCAGGAAAAGTGAGGGAAAGAGAAAGTGAGCAGAGTCACACTGAAAGTCTGATCATAACTCACCAAACCAGCATTACTCACTCCTTAGCCAGCTGCGCTGGGGATGGAGGAGGCTGCACAGAGGTCTTTTGGGTTGCATTCTACTGGGAATGAAATTGACAACTTGCTAGCTAGGGATTTGATCGGTGGCACAGGCACAGTTCATGAGGGCTTGGCTGTGCATTGAAGTAGTTTTGGGAAACTCCCATATGGAGAGAGTTAGATTCTGTAGATGGGTGCATTGCACTACCACAAAACTGGTCCCATGTTGGGCCTATGAACGTTGTCAGAATCCATTTAACTTCCGTCCTTTACTTTATTTGGCAGTTAGCTTTTTTCCGCTTGTAACCTGCTGTCTTATTAAGGAAGATCTTTTGTTTGTTTGTTCCAGCTGCAGACTGGGTAGCTGCTAATAAAGAACTCTTTCTTTCTACCCGGTACACAATCCGCAACCTGACATCAGGAGATAGACTTCAGATTCGTGTGAAGGCAGTGAATGCTGGGGGCATGAGTGTTCCAGCTGTCTTGGAGCAGCCTGTTGTCATCAGAGAGATACTCGGTACGGTATTGTCCTCACTCTATGCAGCCTATACAGAAGCGACATGGGTGCAACACTATGGTAGAACAAAGAAGCACACAAGTCAGTATGTGCTCAGCTAAGGTTGAACTCTCACTAACCCTTAACTCTGTCCACTGATCCATTACAGTATGGCTTTCAATTGTGAGCAAATGCTATTTCTCAAATAATAGTTATTGGGTCAAATTCAGCCCTGATGTAAATGGGTGCAACATCCATTGATTTCAGGGCACTCTGTTTGGATGTCCCTGACCTTTGTCTAGACACTTCCTCTCATGGAATGCCCATGTATCACCAACCTCCAGCAAAAGGCGTTCATTTGAACATTCTAATAATTGAAATAAACATTTGCTGTGTTATTTCAGTGTGTGCACTTACACTCCTCTAGTTATACACTCATCATCTGTTGGCTCACTTGTCCTTTGCACACTCATGTGTTGTTGCACATTCACACACATGAATGCGACTGTCTGTGTGCTGGAATGATGCCTGCTTATTTTGCTCAGAAGAGGTAAGCACTGTCTGTGTGCAACATGGGAACGTGACTCACTTCAAACTGGCTAAAGAATCGTTATCCCCACACTTAGCAAGGCTCCCGTTCCTCTTGGAGGGCTATGAACACATCACTTGTGACACGGGAATACAAAGCTGTCCAAGAGCAGAAAGGACTAAGAAATTGTTAACTGTAGCAGGGCGAGGACTCACCGCTGCGGCGCCTCCTGTCAGTCGTCCTGGGAATTAGCTCTTCAGCTCCGGAGTGCCCTCTGCAGGCTGGTGCCTCGCTGCTGCTGGCCCCTGTGTCCCTCCCGGCCCTGGTGCCCCCTGTCCTCGGGCACTGCCCCTGGTAGTACACCCGCCCTCAGGGTCTCCCTACCCAGGGGAACCCCCACCCAGCCTCAGTGGCTACTGCCAGTCACCATCTAGCTCCCTTTCACTGGGGCTGACTGCAGTCTGTATAAGCCAATCATCACAGGCCAGGGGGTTTTGGACCGGCTGCTTCTGCCTACCCTGGGCTGCACCCTGGCACCCTAGTACCTTTCTGGCCTTTGACAAGGCCACAGCCTGGGGCTTTTCTGGGCAGGAACTCCCCTCTCCCTTGCCCTATCCCCCAGCCCTGCTCCACTCAGGTACCCTATTCAGCTTCCCCGCAGCCAGGCCCTTCTCCGTCTAGACACAGAGAGACTGACTGCTCCTGCCCCACTGCCCTCTTATAAGGGCCAGCTGTGGCCTGATTGGGGCGTGGCCCAGCTGTGGCTGTTTCCCCAATCAGCCCAGGCTCGCTGCTTTGCCCTGCCACAGCCCTCTCCCAGGGCTGTTTTTAAGCCCTTCAGGGCAGGAGCGGGGTTCCTGCCCCGCTACATTAACCTGTACGTTTTCATGTTTCTGTAACTCAAAGAGCTCAGTGGATTTTCTTTAAACACCCCCCCTGCTAAAAAATAAATAAAATAAATCGCTTCTGAGAAACGTTAACCCTGTAGGAAAACTCCAGTAAAGCTATCTGCAGCTGAAAAAAGGGATATAAAGCTTGAATGGCCATTGCTACTCCTGTCCTGCAGTATCGCCTGTGGGGTGTGGAATGCTGAGGCCCTGTACACCGTTAGCAGCAGGACTGTGCTTCCCATCAGCTCACATGGTTACAGCTCTCATGGTTTCTATGATCACTGTGGCGAGGGATTAGGATTAGACAGTTGTGCTGGTGGATGATGTTCTCTCGATGAGCCCCCCCTCCAGCATCGCAGTTGACAGCAGATGTAATGCAATTTGTAATCCCGTCAGGCAGGAGCACAAACTGTGTCTGTGTTCACACATCAGAGGGGTAGCCGTCACGCGTCTGACGAAGTGGGTATTCACTTCTGCTCCAATACATCTGTTAGTCTGTAAGGTGCCACAGGACTCTTTGTTGTGTTCACATGAGCATTCTTTGACGTATTTGACTGGATTTGAGGTATTTTGATGGCTACTGCTATCTTAGCTCCAGTGTGTTATTAGCATACACAGGGCTTCTGGCCTCTGCCAGGATGTTGCAGGCAGTGTTGTCTAAACCTGCTCAGAGCAAGTGTACACAAACCAATGTTTAATATGCCTGCAGCCATCAGCTCCTTGTCAACACTTGTGCTCCCAGAAGCAGATAATTTTAGCTGATGTCCTAGTACAGAGAAGGCCTGTCTTAGTTCACTCTGCAAGTGAATTAAATTAAATCGAATTAAGGCCATTTATTTCCAAATGAGTGTCCACATAGGCGTTTAATGTGGTGTCACTAATCCACTGTAAATTCATACCTTTAGTTAGTTCAGATTAATTTTCCTGAGTGTCCCTATGTAGACATGCCAGGGCTCATCTACATGGTGAGTTGCTGGCTGGGAAGCCAGGCATGTGAATCTAGAGCACGCCAATTTCCATGCGAACTAAGCCGCACTCTGGAACTTTCACTGCACTGTAGCAATGTGCAAATGATGAGTTACTGCACGGCAAGCTAGTGCGCTATAGAGTCACATGCCTGGCTTGCCACGCAGTAACTTCCTGTGCAGCCGAGCCCACAGAGTTTAAGGTCAGAAGAGATCAACATCTAGTCTGAACTCCTGTATCTCACAGGCCACTAACCGTCACCCAGCTGCTTTCTGAAAACACCGTCTCTTCCGAAAACACATGCTAAATGCAGAACACTGCACGACCGTGGGCAAATGTTTGAAATCAGGCAATTCAAAGATGGGTCCCGAATAGAGCAGGGTGAAATTTTGTTGGCGAATCAAGCCATTCTTTTGCTTTGGTTTTTGCTGAAAAATGCATTTTTCGGGGTCCGAAACATTTGTCCAATTTGAATTCGATGAATAGTTTCAACTGGAAATTATGTTTTCAAAAGAGGTGACGTTTTTTATTTCGACTGTTTTGTTTCAAAACATTTTGTTTGGATTTTTTTCATTCAAAACAGTGTTTCAGTTTTAAATCTGTCCAGTTTAAACACACACACACACACACACACACACACACACACACACACACACACACACACACACACACACACCACCCAACCCC